CCGCTGGCCACGCCCACCACCTGTGCCCCCTTCCCCCTCCCCCTTCACCTGTCGTGGGACCGTGTCTTCCTTTTCGCCCTACCTGTGCCCCCGCTGCTCTTGAGACGAGCGCGACCCACGCGCAGCGACCGCTTGCTGGCCCACCTGGTCTCCGATTGTACCTGCTCCCCCCTCCCCCCTCACCTGTCTTCGCATGTTCTGGGACCGTGTGTCCTACCTGTGCCCGTCGGGGCCCAGTCCCCCCACGTGAGAGCCTACGGTGCGGGCTGGCACGACGACGGCTGGCGTGGCGCGCCGGCCTTCCTCTCCCCCGTTCGCTTCTTCCCCCCCCGCTCGCTTCCCCCCCCCCCCCCCCATGGCGGCAGCGCCCGGCGCTGCGCGGCTTCGGCCCGGTGCCGGGCGCTGCACCTTGCCGCCTCGGCGGCCCCGCTCGCCCTGGCGCTGCGCGGCTCAGGCCCGGCCCTCGGCAATGCGGATGTCAGCGCATCGTGTGTGGCTGCTGCCCGTCTTCACGCGCTGACGGTGCAGGGCAGGCTTCCTCCCTGCACTCCACCGACATCCTGTCGGTCATGTACGGCCCTCTCGTCTGTGGCCGCACCTCAAGCAGGCCTCTACCTGGTCGTGGATTGGACTACCACCCCAGGCCTTTCCCGCATCGCCCGGTGGCACAACGTTGCGCATCGCCTTCGTGGTGCTCCTCCTCTTCCTGGGCCTCCTCCGCGTCATCCGGTGGCACAACGTTGCTCATCGCCTTCGTGGTGCTCATCTCTCTCCTGGGCGCCGACCTGGTCAAGTGGCGCGTCCTCTTCTGCTGTGCTTGAGGCTGGTGTTCGCGACGTGCCGTTGACGGCGACGCCATCTCCATCGCCTTCCGAGTCTTCGCCCCCTGTCCCTGTCCGCGGCGCACCTTTTCCTGTGCAAGCTCTTCGGCGCCGCCTGCGCCCCGACTCCCGCCCGCTCCGGCCGCCTGAGGCCCCGCCTTCCTGTGCCCTCTCTCCCTAAAATTAAAGCTGTGCGTGGCCCGCCTAGCTTTTAGCAGAAGAGATTCGCTCTCGCCCCGCAGACCCAAAAGTGTGCGGCCTGGGCCCTGCCTTCGGCTACCTGCCTCCCTCCTCCCCCCCGCTTTCCACTTGCATTTGGGACCGTTCGCCCCCCTGATCCGCTGGGCCCACCTGATGCGTGCCGCCCGGGCTTCATGCTCGGCAGGGCGGCGTCCGCGTCTTCCTCCTCCTCCTCCTCCTCCTTCTCCCCCTCCTCCCCCTCCTCCTCCTCCTCCTCCTCCTCCTCCTCCTCCTCCTCCTCCTCCTCCTCCTCCTCCCCCTCCTTCTTTCAACTGGTGTTGGGACCGTTTGTCCCTCCTGATCCCGCAGGGTGCCCTGATCCACCCGGCCACGTGCTACTTCTGGCGCGGGGGCTGGCTCGCTGGGCTGGCCTCTCTCCTTTCTGCCCGCTTCCCCCCCCCCCGCTCGCTACCCCCCCTCCCATGGCGGCGGCGCCCGGCACTGCGCGTCTCCGGCCCGGTGCCAGGCGCCTGCTCCTTACCGCCTCGGCGGCCCCGCTGGTCTTGGCGCTGCGCGGCTCAGGCCCGGCCCTTGACGCTGCGGATCGGCAGCGCAACGTGTGTGGCTTCCGCCCGTCCTCACGCGCTTGCTGGTGCAGGGCAGGCTTCCTCCCTGCAGCACGCCGGCATCCCGTCGGTCATCGGCGGCAAGTTCACGGTTCGCCTGGCTGCCGCGCCTCAGGCTGCGGGCCCCCGAGTCCGTGGATTGGACTACCACGGCTGGTACTCCTGGCATTAGTTTGGTGGCACAACGTTGCACTCCAGCTCACTGGTGCTCCTCTTCCTTTCGGACGTCGACCTGGTGACGTTGCGCGTCCTCTCCCGCAGTTTGTGAGGCTGGTGTTCTCGAAGCGCCGCTGGCGGCTCCGCCGCCAGCTTTCTTCCTCCCGGGACTTCACCGCCGGGCTCCTGTCCAAGGTATACCTTTTCCTGCGCGTCCAATTCGGCGCCGCCTGGTCCCTGGGCTTCGCCCTGTCCAGGCCGCGTGAGGCCCCGCCTTCTTCCGCCCTTTCTCTGCTAATTGAAGCTGTGCGCGCCCCGCTTATCTTTCAGCGGAAGAGGTTCGCTCTCGCCCTGCGTATCAAAAAGTGCGGGTGGCTGTTTCGCAGTCGCCCGCGAGTTCCCAGTGTGTTCAGTTGTCTGTTCAAGCTGCAACTAGTCGCTCGCGGCTGGCTGGTCGCCGACCTGTCGCCGTAAACGTGTGCGCTTGGCGGAGGCTGGGCGCTGGTAGCTACATTCGCCGCCACAATAACGGGCTGGCTCACCTCGGACCGCGTTTCTCCGTGTTCAGGGGCATCCCAGGGCTAGCTTTTTGATTGCGACGTGCACCTTGGGCCCATCTGGGTCCCTCGCAGGTTAGCGGGAGAGTCTCGGATTCCATTGGGGCCAGACGCGCACGTGCAGCCTATGTATCTGACCACGTCTTCCTCGATGTTGTGAAGGTTCCTGTGAATCTGCTCATGGCCCCAACGCGCAGACTTGGCCCTGCGATGTAGAACGGGCACGGTACCATCTGGCAGAAACACTGGGCCATCTTGGGCGTCATTATGGTTCGCTCCTGTTGGTCCTGTTGGCTCGTGTTGGCCTTCACTGTCCAACCCTGCGGCCATTGCAGGCGGCCGGCCGTTCTCGCGAGTTGCATTTGGCCATCCTCCTGGTTCGGGACCTGGCTGGACCTCCACAGGTATTGTGCGATCTAAATCGTCTAGGCCAGGTCCGCCCACAACTCGATCCATTCGATCGCGCGCCACACGCAAGGCTTCTTGAGCGAGGCGCACCTCCATCCTCCATTCGTCGTTCGATTCCCTCCCCATGTTGGTCATAGTCCCGGCGTGCTGACTTCGACGGGGGAGTCCACGTGTCCGAGCTTGATCGCACATGTCACGTGCAGTTTGCAAGAGTTCTTGAAATGAGTCGAACATCTGGCTGATGATCGGGGTGGGTTGGCAACTGTTGGCGACATATGGGATACAGTATATCATCCAATCACGCCTTGCAAAGTCGCCGCTGAATAAGTAGTGTCTATACTCAATGCTGAAGAACGGTCACGCACTGCCATCAGCAGTCCCCTCCGCGCGTGAAATTCAGCTTGTTGGCCTAATGACATGGGCTTGTCACTCGGCTGTGGATCCATACCTTCGCATAACATAGTCACTCCCGCGGTTTTCCGTATTCTGGCTTGGTACATATTGACGAAGTCGTTGTCCTGAACGTCGTCGTGCCGTACATCTGGCGCTGGCGTCGCAAACCAGTCAAAACCGAGTTGCGCTGGATTGCCTGGCCCTGGGCTCTGCGCGGCTGCAGGTTGTTGAGCCTTCACTTGCGTATCTGCTGAAACCTCCGTCGGTGTACCCTGTGCTGTAACCGTGCGGGCTGCGTGAGGAAGTGGTCCTCCTCGTTGGACAGTGGCCACCACGACATTCGTGGCTAGTAGCTCATATCTTGTGATTCGTGCTTTAACATTTTCATTGGAATGTATGTCGTGGGCTCTCGAAGTGAGATGCCGCCATGCACGGGTGACCCGAGCTTGTTTTTCAATCAAATGGGCTGCCCATGTTGACGCGTCCCGTGTGAGTGGGGCTGCAGTGCGTTGGTTGTAATTGTATCGCGCCACTTCCCAGCTGCGCCATACTCCGTTGCAAATCTCGATGGCGGGCGGTATCATTGCACTGGCTCCATCTCGTCGCTGTTGTGGTAAGAAGTTCTTGGCGAACCGCAGGGACATACCAATCAAGCCAATCCACGTGTGCTGATTCATTGGGCCACAGAAAGGCTTCGCTGTTCCATGCATCCATCTGTAATTGCATTGCATTCTCTAGTTGCCCATTGGACTGATAATGCGCTTCATCATCCGAGCTCGTCTCCTCGACACTGGCGCGGGTGAGGGCTTTCTGCAGCTGTCCCATGAGACGCCCCCCATCCTGTCAGGTATTGATCGCCCAGTCGATGTTGGAGCCCTCGACGTCGTCCAAAATGGTGGCGTCAGACTCCATGGTATTGTCGCTCCCCGTATACCCCAAGGGAGCTGAGTGCATCTTGCCGTGGAAGATCTTTCTGGCAACGTTGCGCCAGTGACCATGAACTCGGCTATCAGTCAATGTGGCGCAGGATGAGCTGCAGCTGGTGCAGGTGCGGCTGCCATGTTTCCTCCTGACTCCGCTGGTGTTTCTGCAACTTGCGCGGGAAGTTGGAAACGCTTGTGGGCTGCTGGATTTGGGTCGCCCTCCGCTGTCTTTTTGCGGCCTGTCGGGTACAGTTCGGACGCCGCGCTGCCTTTGCCGGTGCTCTTGCCACCGAACTGCGCCACTAGGTTGTGGAACTGATCCGCACCTGGTCCTGGCAGATGTGGCGACTCCTGTGTAGGTCCCGCCGGCTGTGTTGTTGCCAGCAATGCTGGATCCACCCGTGGCGTCTTTGCCGCACATGCTTCTTCTGCTGTTGGCAGTGGTGAATGCGGCGGTCCTCTGACTAGCTCCCACTGTACCAACTTTGTCCCCTGCTGCGTTGGCTCGGCTGCCTTTGGTATCGGACGCTGTGCACCCGCTCCTGGGCCCGGCGCGCCCTCGGCGACATGCTGAACCGCCGCTGCCGCTGCTGCCTCGATGTCTGGCTGCGGGTGCCCCCTTGATCCCATCGCTGTCAGGCTGCCACCTGAATCTGGTGGTCTCGCCGCCGGTGCCGCTCCTGCAGCTGCCATCTGCGTCATCGAGGCCGCCGAGCACGGCGGCGGCAAAGGTACCCCCATGGGCGGTATTTGAATCTGAGGAACCCCCATGGTCAGCGGCTGCTGTGGATCTGGTGTCGGGTATGGTCCAACAGGGTGCGCTTGTTACCCTGGCAACTGCTGCACGTATTGCTGCACTTTCTGCATCTGGAAGATCATTTGCTGGTTCTGGTACTACAGCTGTGCGCGCGCTGTTGCCCCATGACGGTTCTGCTCTTATGGCGCCCCGATCGCCTGGTTGCGGCTGCTGCCCTCGGTGCCGTCGTCATCGTGTCTACCGCCATCTCGGCACCAGCAGGCTCGTGTATGATGTCGTGGAGGTCGGCTGCAATCTTTGCCTCGGTCTCCGCCAAGGCCGTCTTGGTGTCCTCGATGTAGTATTCGAGTTCCCCGACCTGGGCCTCCAGCGTGGCGATGCGGCACTTGGTGTTCTTCAAATCCTCCATCTTGGATGCTAGCGGAGCCACCTGTTCCGCTTTGACCTCGCTTTGACCTCCGTCTAGCGCGTACTTCAGCATGCTCATCTCCTCCTTGGGCTCCTCGTCCGGTTCCTTCGCTCTTACTGCTTGGATTGCCAGGCGGGCGGGTACCGTGAGACGAATCTTCACCTTGTCGCGGAACTGGTACTGCATCTTGCGATCCGTCGGCGGGGTCCAGCTGCTCCACTCGTCGTATGCTTCTGCAAAATGCTTCAGGGCAGGGGCAATCCGTTCGACTAGCCTGTAATTAGGCTTGCTTCTCGATGCCGTAGTCTCGCTCTTGCTATCGATCGTGACTGGATCTGTCGCGACCAGGCCGAGCCTTGGGAGTTGGCGGCCCTTGTTTGCCCCACTTGCGGGAGGCACTCCTGCTCGGTCTTCTCCGCTCTGCGAACGGCCGCTCACAGGATGAGCAATCCCACAATTAACCTGCCTGGTGCTGTCCGCGCGCGCATGTCCACCCTGGCGCCGCGGCCATACTCACTGTGACAGGACGTGGTGGCTGTTGCGCACTGTAGTGGGCCGTCAACAGGGCGGTAGCAGCTCGCACTCAGAGCAAGACTCTCGCAGCAACCCTTTCTCTCCTCCTGCGGCGATGCCAGGCGGCCTCTCGTCTTGAGCGAGATCGCCCTCGTGATGAAGAAGAGACCGTGGTGGGCGTACGGTGTCCCAACCACGCTGGAAAATGAAATGGTGTGTTGTGGCTGGCTTCTCGGGTGCCAACACACGAGGCGCGGACTCCTGTGGGCTGCCCTTCCCTGAGGTCTGCCCACTCTGAGCCTAAACCTTTCTCCTCCTCCTCCTCCTCCTCCTCCTCCTCCTCCTCCTCCTCCTCCTCCCCCTCCTATCTCGTCCCTCAGCGCCAGCTGGCACGAGCGCGGCGCTTGGGGCCAGCCAGCGCCACGGGTGCCGCCGGGCGCCGCCGCCCCGTGCCGTCCCGGCGGTCTCCCAGCCAGCATGGAAGCGGCCCGGCCGAACCGGCCCGCTGTCGCGCGCCGCGCCCAGCAGCTCCGTGCCGAAGGGCGAGCTGCGGAGCGGCTTCTGGCAGCTGTCGCGGCGCTCGCGAGCCACCGCGGCTCGGCGCCGATCCGCCTGGGCGCCGCCGTGGCCGAGGCGTTGCGGACCGCGGAGGCGAGCGCAGAACGCAAGGCCACAGAGGCTGACGAGGAGGCGCCCCCCCCAGGCAGCGGAGGCCTATCTCGACCAGCTGCGGCAGCGGCGGGCGGAGGCTGCGCGCCGCGAGGCCGCCGAGCGGCGGCCGCGGAGGCCGCGGACCTGGCGCCCGCGCGGGAGCAGGACGCCGAGGCCGAGGCGCTGGAGCCCGCAGCGAGTCGCGCGGCGACGCAGGAAGCCACGGGCGCCGACGAGACGGCGCTGACAGCGGACGCCTAGGTGGACCAGCGGCGAAAGCAGCGGGCGGAGGCCGAGCGCCGCGCGGCGAGGCTTGCGGCGGTGCTGGAGCGGACCCGCTTGCTGGAGCAGCTCAGCCGTGAGGCCGCGGCCGAGCGGCTGGCGGAGGCAGCGCAATCCGAGCAGCGCCGCAAGACAGGCTAAGGCGACCGCCCTCGACGGCGCCGGACTGGAGAGGCTGGGGGGTGCCGAGCGGAGGGGCGCGGAGGCCGCCAGCCTGGCCGCGGGTGAGGCACGATCGCTGGCGCAGCAGGCGAGGGCGGAGCCCTAATTGCCGACGGCTGCGGAGCGACTTGCACAGGCGCGGCGCCCGGAGCAGGCTGCGAGGCTCCACCCGAAGCCGCGACCTCCTGCTCCTGGCGCCTGGCGAGGGCGCGAGCACCTGACGCAGGAGAAGAGGTGGGCACCGCTGGCGAGCTGCACCCTCGAGAGGAAGGGGCCCAGCTCAAGGGTGGAACGACTCCGAGAGGCGGCGCTGGCGGGAGGGAGACAGTCACGCGACGCGGACGCGAGCGCGGAGACGTTGGCCGAGGACGAGCTGGATGGCGACGGGGAGAGTGCGGGTGCTGTCCCAGCGGATCGACCTGGCCCTGTGTCGGTACGCGGGGTAGAGGGGAGTGGTGGCCCACGGGTCGCGCGGCTCCCGCCCGACAACGGGTTTGAGGCGAAATCTTTGGAAACAGATCTTCTATCTCGTTCCTCCTCGCTCCTCCCTCCTCGGCCCCCTCCTCCCTCCTGGCTCCCCTGCCTCCTGGCGCCGTCGCGGAAGGAAGACCCGTCCAGCTCAGCTTCCTAGCAAGGCCCCCTACCCATGGGCTCGACGCGGTGCCTTCCTCGGGCAAATCCATCCAACCAACCAACCAACCCTCCGTGGTTGGTTGGGGCTGCGGTGTTTTTTTCGCCGCCTGGCAGTGCGGCATACAAATGCTGCCAAAACTATCTTTGAGAGCCCTGTTCTCCCGCCTTGAGGCCCCCTTGCGGGGACCCCAGACGGCTCTGTGGAGCGCGAGCAGGCAGACTGGTGCACCCCTGCCGAGGATTTTCTTGACTTTCGTCGTCTGCGAAACAGCCCAGGAGGAGCTTCTTGGGCGGGGCTGGGACGCGTTTCAATCAGTTCCAGAGCATTCCGGAGCGCCCTCAGAGAGAGTTCCCGCACGCTTTGAGAAGGCCCCGGCGCCCGAGGCATCCTCCACAGCCGCCAGATCTCAGAGATTCTCGATCCATCCTCACCCGATCTTGCACGTCCTGGCTTCGTCGTAGCTCCCTCCTCGCAGCCGCACCCATGGCATCCGCGCACACCTCGCACGCATGAGCACCTGGTGGGGCCCTGGTGGCCGCCTCCTTCTCGCTTCCCCCCCTCGCTCGCCGCCGATCCATGTGCGCTTGCCCATCGTTTTCCGTGCGAGCTGATGCAGCCGGACCGCTGGAGCCGACTTCTGATGGACCGAGCGGCCGGCGCGGCCGCCGCGCTGCCTGGGCCCTGCTCTGGGCCCGCCGCCCACGCCCCCGACGGCCGGGCCCGTCCTGCGCTGGGGCTTCCCAGACATCCTGCGTCATGTTTGTTTTTTTCAAGGCGCCCGCGACGGATTGATTTGCTGAGAGCGGATTGCTTTTGATCGCATGACTCTTTTCCAAGGCGACTGCGCCCGCCCTGCCGGGGCAGCGCGGCGGCGCTCGGCCTCCCAGGGCAGCGGGTCGTCCTGCGGGGCCCATCCTGCCAGGGCAGCGCGGCGGCGCGGCCGCCGCGCTGCCCACGCCTCTGGGCGGCCGGGCCCGCCCTGCGCGGGGGCTTTGGCTCTGCGCTCGGGGGGGGGGGGTGCCCCGAGGTCGGGTGCGCTCGGGCGGCCCATGCAGACCCTCTCGGGGGCACGAAGACGGAACGCGGCGGAAGGCTTTTCGCTACTTAGGGTATGGGCCGCTGGGGTAACGAGTCGGGCCCCCCAGACATTGTCGCGTCGTGAAAACACTTGGAAGCATCACGGTGGCGGGTTCCTGGTCGTTTCGGCCTCTGGGGGCTCTCGCTGGGCCCGGGGACGGGCAGAAAACTTTTCGGGATAACAAGCTGGCCCCAGGGAAAGGGTCGGGATTTCCTGGACCCCGTACTGAAAAAGCTTCAGGACATCGCAGGTCTGGTCCCTGGACCTCCCCAAGGGGTGCGCAGGGGCCATGCGGGGCCCGAATGACACATCCCACAGTGGCGGCGGCACGCCCCCCGCCCAGAGGCCACCAGGGGCTGAGCCCCAAATCCCCAGACCTCGAAGAAACAAACAACTACATGACCACAAAGTGATCGTTCTCTTATTCAATGTTTTGCCGATCGGCGCGGGCCTTCGCATCCCCCCTTTCCCCCCCCCGCTTCAGTAGATCTTGGCTGTTTTTGGCGCCTGTTGCCCGCAGGTGGAGTCTCCCTCACAGGACGCACTCTTGTAAACAGTCGCATTAAGCAGAGGTCCAGAGCCAGCCTCCCCCACCCCTCCCCCCCCCTTCCGCCCAATGTCGAGACGTCGAATCAGAAAACATTCTCCTCGGCCCAGGGGCCCTCGCCATGCCCCAGGACCGTCAAGCAACGACTCGGGATGGACAACCGGCCCTGGGGAAAGGGTCGTGACTTCCAGGGACCCCGTGCCGAAAAAATCAGGACATCGCATGTCTGGGCAGGGGGGTGATGACTATTAGGGGGGGGGGAGCCTGTCCAGAGCCTGTCGCCGGTCTATCGGCGATACATCGCCGCCGATTCCAGGCCGACGTATCCCCAACTGAGCTGGCCCCCCCCCCAGCGTTCGCTCGCAAGAGGGGGCTGAGGACTCGGGTGGGTGGGTGGGTACCATGGCCGGCGCCATGATTTCTCCCCGGATCTCATGGCCCCCTCTTCCTCTCTCAGGACGTCCCCTGTATCGGAGGTTGATAGACCTCCTACCCTGAGAAGTCGATTAGCGAATTGGCCGCTTTCGGTTCGTGGGAGGGCGTCGCGGCCGTCGTTTTTGCGGGTCCAGGTCCGTCGGTTTCGGTCTTTGGCCGTTTCCATTAAAGGGTGGTTTACTAAAGGGAGGTTTTTCCACCGCCGACTATAGTCCCCCCCCTGGGCCGCGCACGTGCCTCGGGGGCCACGAGTTGCGAACCCCACGCTTGGACGCCCCCCGCCTGCACGCGTGAGGCCGGGTACGTTGGGGGCCGCGGGGCACCGCGTGGCGCCCCAGGTGCGAGGTTCCTCTTGGGCCTCAGGCCCGCCGCGTCGCCCGCCCTCCTCCGCTCCAGTGGGAGGCCATGCTGAAGATGATGTACTGCGGCAGCGTGGAGATCACAGTAGACAACGTGCTCGCCATACTCGACGTCGCGGAGTCTCTTTCGGAGGAGGAAAGGAGGTGGCCACTTGCCCTTTGAAGTGTCACCCGCGGCTGGACATGTTTCACCCGTGCCTGGGTCCAACAAAGTAATCACTTTCAGATTGCTCGAGATGGAGAGTCAGCCACGGTTGTCGGGCCAGGCGCACGCACTCACACACCCACGCACCCACACCCACACACCCACACACCCCCACAGACGCACACAGACGCACCCGCACACGCAGGCACAACACACATAACACAGCACACAACGCAAAGCGCACAATACACGGCATACGGCACAAGGCACAACACACAACACATAACACACAACACACAACGCACAACACACACACACACCACACAATACACAACGCACAACACAACAAGACGCAGCACACAACACACCACACACCAGACACACAGACCATACACACACCACACCACACACACCACACATACCACACATACCACACCACGCACACACACGCACAAACAAAATGCATTCACAGACACACGCACACATACATACACAGACACACACAAACACGCACAGACACACAGACACACATACTCACGGACACACAGTCACGCACACACGCGCACACGCACACGCACACAAGTGACATACACAAACACACACAGACGCACAGGCACACAGACACACAGACACACAGACACACACAGACACACACAGACACACATAGACATACTTACACAGACGCACACAGACACAGACACAGACACACAGACACAGACACAGACACAGACACACGCACACTCACACGCACACACATACACACGCACACATACGTACACACAAACTTGCGGCGTCGCGGCCTCGCGCGTAGTGACAGGGCGTCCAAAACACACTTTTAAGTCGGCGTCGCAGAGGAGCCTCAGGCGCGGTCCGCACATGTCAGTGCGAAGTGCGAACGAACTGAACCGATACGCGCAGTGAAGGGTACGTCCACCACTGCAGTGCAGAAGGGATGGTGGCAAGAAATTATCCCAGTGCGACCCTACCTAGGAGTTTGAGCCCCTAGGAAAACAGAATTTGTAGTAACAGTAAAGCTAAGCTAAAGCTAAGCTAAAGCTAAGCTAAAGCTAAGCTAAAGCTAAGCTAATTCTAAGCTAACGCTAAGCTAAAGCTAAGCTAAAGCTAAGCTAAAGCTAAACTAAAGCTAAGCTGAAGCTAAGATGAAGCTAAGCTGAAGCTAATCTGAAGCTAAGCTGAAGCTAAGCTAAAGCTAAGCTAAAGCTAAACTAACGCTAAAACAAAGCTAAGCTAAAACTAAGCTAAAGCTAAGGTAAACCTAAGCTAAAGCTAAGCTAAAGCTAAGCTAAAGCTAAGCTAACGCTAAGCTAAAGCTAAGCTAAAGCTAAGCTAAAGCTAAGCTAAAGCTAAGCTAAAGCTAAGCTAAAGCTAAAGCTAAAGCTTAAGCTAAAGCTAAAGCTAAAGCTCCTAGGGGACTGGGGGAACCGCTCCCAGGGGACTGGGGGAACCGCCCGGGGCGAGTTGCACTGCCCGGCCCCTTTAAGAAAGAGAGTAAGAACCCTCTAGGCAGAGCCTAGGTAGGGAACAACGGTATGCTATGCTATGCTATGCTATGCTGTGCTATGCTATGCTATGCTGCGCTGTGCTATGCTGAGCTAAGCCATGCTATGCTATGCTATGCTATGCTATGCTATGCTATGCTATGCTATGCTGCGCTATGCTATGCTATGCTATGCTATGCCATGCTATGCTATGCTATGCTGCGCTATGCTATTTTGCGCTATGCTATTTTGCGCAATGCTGTGCTATGCTATGCTATGCTATGCTATGCTATGCTATGCTATGCTAATGCTGCGCTGCGCCAAGCTAAGCTAAGCAGAGCAAAGCTAAGCTACGCTAGGCTAAGCTAGGCTTGGCCAAGCTAAGCTACGCTAAGCTAAGCTAAGCTAGGCTAGGCTAAGCTAAGCTAAGCTGAGCTAAGCAAAGCTAAGCTAAGCTAAGTAAAGCTAGGCTAAGCTAAGATGAGCTAAGCAGAGCTAAGCTAAGGGGGCGCAACTGGGGGAACCGCGGGGCGGATACTGGGGGAACCGCCCGGGGCGAGGAACATTGCCCGGCCCCTTTCAGCCCAGCGAGTAAGAACCTTCTAGGCAGAGCCTAGGTAGGGAAAAGTGAGGTACTGTTAAACCAACGTGCAGCGGCCAACAAAGCGAGGAACAAACAGCTCGACTCGAATAAGTTGAAGCGCCAGCAGTCTGGTGCCAATTGGTGTCACTGAATCAGCAGAGTGACGTTAGACAGTGAAGACAATGAACTGTAAAGCTGTCAGGCCAGCCGATGGGTGAGGTAGCGCTGAGAAAGCTATGGCCTGACGAAGCTGATAAGTAGGGTGCTACATTGCGAACCGGGGACGCAAGGTGCAACAACAAAAAGGAGGAGGTGCTAGACCTACTAGACACGGGAAGCACCACACAGCGCGACCCGAACATGACAAAATCGTCGCAGAAAG